AGACACTTCATATATGAGTTCAGACGAGGCTGAAGCTGTGTTGTCACGTTGCTGAGTCTGCTTCTCCTGGTTTCTTTGTAAATCATTAAGGAAAGTTAAAAAACACAACTATCCAAGGGTAGAAGGGGTAGATACAGGCATATCCTTTCCTCCACTCCCGCCCATACTCAATTCTTCCAGCCTCCTGAGTGGACAAGCTCACCGGAGAGGGAGACTGGGGAAAATACTCTCCCGACAGAAGATGCTGGTCAAAAAGTCACTAGAAAGTTTTCTGTGCTCCAAGTTAAGGCAGGAGCCCAAATTGGGTCCCACAAAGGGTGACCTGAAGCTTCAGGAACACGCTTGCACAACTACAAACACACCAGCTAGGAAAAGAAAAGGGCCCGTGGAAAACTGTGTTCAGCATCTCCTAATAGGGTTCTGGCTGAGCAAGTAAAGCATTCCATCTCATCCCTCCCAATAGTCACATCTATCACTTTTCCTCCATTCTGAAAGAAAGCCGCATTTGAAACAAAACAAGCCAGCAAACCATGCCTAAGAACCATATCATTTCAGATTCACATTTCCCAACAGGCTTTCTAGTTCTCCGCAAATAATATCACCAGTTCACTCTGCTCTCTAGTTCTGGTAATTGGGGTGGGGGTGGGGTCCGGGCTTGTGGGCCGCGATGTCTAGGGAAACTGGAGACATTCGATCAGAATTCTAGGCTGCTTCTTACAACTCTCTGGTTTATAGAAAATGAATGTCTGCCTGGCTTGCTTTTCCTTCAGGAAAGGGGTGAGTCTTTATCAGCACGGTTCACATAGATCTGGGTCCCCCCACCCCCTTATCTTAAATTGACCCGCTTTTAAGATAAAGACATAATAGAGAAAGCATTGACCTTACCTGGTCCCTAATGAGTTGGAAGTCAGGAAACCCCGCTCTCATTTCCTTTTATCTCGGGTCGCCTGAGTAGAGACTCAAGCTACCTTTTGTGCACTCGCGCCTGGAGATAACCCCTCGCGGACACCCAGAGCCGGTGAGCGCGCTCAAAGAGCGCGCGGCCTCTGAAGTCTGAGATTCTTCTCTAGGGTCTCAAAATCCGAGACCTGGATGCAGACCTAGGCCAAACCCTGACTTGCAAGATTTCTGAAATCCCTGCGAAGGCTCACAAGCTGGTCCTCCCCTTCGAAAGGACCAGCTCTAAGCTGTGGGAAAAGATGACTCCTGCAAGGCCCTGGGACTGGAGCGCTGGCGGCCTCCCCCGCCTCCGGGAGTACGCGCTCAGAGCCTTTCTCCCGGAGTCAGCTCCCGCCTGCCTCTGATTTCACTCCCGGGGCCCCAAGATACTTCCCACCAGGCTGCCTCCTCTCCCAGAGCCGCTGCCCGGCTGCGGAGGCATTCCTGCCCCAAGGCCTTGAGGACTCCCAACTACACTCGCTTGGGTCTGGGTCGGGGGCGGCGGCAACCCAGGCGCTCTTCTTCCCTGCTCAGGGCATCTCTGTCCCGCTCTTCTCGCCTGACCCGCGCCCGGCCCCTGTCCCTGGCCTGGCCAGCTGAGAAGGCTGCTTTCCTTCCTCCCCGACCCACAGCTCCGGGTTCCCAGGCTGGGGCGGGGGTGGGGAGCCGCTTTGGGATGCTAAACATCAAACAAGCCAAGCCTGGGGTTTCAGGCCCCGAAGCCACTAGAGCCGCTCTCCAGGGCTCTCGAGAAAGTCCTCGTGTTTACAAGGCTGGGTGGGGGTGGGGAAGAGGAGGAAGGGGGGATGCCGTCTGCAAAATATCCCCCACTCTCCTTAGCCTTCGGGGCCTAGAGATAGGTGGGGTGCTTAGGCGGGGGGCGCTCAGCTTCTTCCGGATCCCAGGGCGAGAAGCGTTGCCCCCACACTGGGGAAGCTTCTTGGCTCTTCCAGGCGCCTCAGTGCCAGGGGCATCCTCAGCAGGCTGATTTCTCCTACTGAGAGGCAGAACCTACCCGGGCCAGAAAGGCTGGAGACCTTAGGGGAGGTCAATTGCGGGAGAAGACGACGATACACTTCTCAGAGGTTGACCAGCGGCGTGTGGGGTGGGAGGGTGTCCCCAGGCTGCAGTCCTTCGATGAACCCAGCGCGCACCTACTTCCCTCTCAAGACGTTCAGATTGTGTTCCAGGGACGCTTCCTGCGGCTGCAGTAACCGCTCTCCTAGGAGCAGGGAGCTGGTGGACCCCACTTAATTTATGGAGAGACGAGCTCAAGGCCATGTTTGTTTCGGTCCTATCGAAGACCCGGCTGAATTCACCTTTCCCTGGGACAAGTAAACAGACTTCAAACTAAGCCGGCTCTAGACAGCAGGGAGAAGAACATATCTGATAGAAACTCCGTCTAGTTTAGGGAACTCCAACCCACTAACATTGTGATTCTCAGGGGCCTACTCTAGCTTAGAATGGGTGGTTGGACAGCCACAGGCCATTATCAGGATAGCCGTCTCCACCCTGACTAGGCTTGTGCTGGGCAGGGAGCTGGCTGTGGCAACTTCCTACTCCCACTGACTTGGAAGTTCAGAGCTTAGAGCCAAACATTTCTCCTGCCAAGCTTTGGCCTGAGCTAGATGTCCTGGCCACGACTCACCCTATTCTCCAACCACTGCTGCCCATTCCAATACAAGTGTTCAAACTTTACAATTTGTTTTCCAACATGTGAGGCCTGCTGAGATTTTTGTACCGCCCCCCCCCTCCCCAGCACATTCTCTAGACACAACCAACCATCCTCTCAGAAACTCTGAGTCTCCTCTGGATATTGAAGACTCTTATCTCAGAGTCCATGAAGGAAGCCCACCTAGCATCCCAGTACTAAGGCACCACAAGAGGAGCATTGTGGAATATAACCTGTGTGGAGCAAGGCTCCAGGGCAGGTAATGTCCCTTACAAGTTTGGGGTGGGAATGAGACTTGAGAGGAGATGGTAAGGGTGGAGGGGAAGAAAGACCCAGACTGAAAAGAAAATGAGATGAAAAGAAAGGAGATGGAGAGAGGCAAGAAAGAAAAAAGGGAAAGTTGAAATTCTAATCGAGAAGTGAGTATACGCCAAATTTGAGTCAATCCCCCACAATCTCCCACAATCACTTTCAGAACTAGAGAAAAGTGTGGGGAGGGACATCATTTCCTAGGTATATTTCTCAGGAGTGACATAGAAGGGGCAACAGCCCACTTAGGGACTGTGATTTCTTTGCAACAACCACTATTTCCCCCTCTCCTCCCCATTACAAACCCGAGTTCTCCAACACACACATCTGGGCACCAAGAGACTAGGAAATTAGTGGTAGGAAGAAAGGGCAAAGGTACTTTTGGTTTTTGCTGGAGGGTGGGGAGAGGTGGAGAATTAGGAACAGGAGAAAGACTCATTATTGTCAAGATTTAGGAACCCAGAATGGAAATCTGTGGAACAAAGAGAGAAATCCCAGCTGCCAAAGTCCTGGCAGGGGTGTCCTCAAGCCAGCAGCTCAGCCCAACATCTCCGGAGGCTAAGAGGCCTTGAGAAACCAAGTATCTACCGCTGGTCACTCACTATGTAAAGATCCGTGTTTTAGAACAGAAACGAAACCTGGACTTCCCACTGTCCAAAACAGTCTCCCACTGGATCTTAGAATTCTAGTTGAGACAGGATACTGAACTGAAACAAAAATTTGAGGTTCAAATGTACAGAGACAATCCCTTTTCATTAAAAATGATAGCTCATTCAGGATTATTTTAAAATGGATGTCCTGGCCGACTGTTTCAAAAAGTTGACTCAGCTGTACGAGCCCACAGTAGATACTTCGGAGGTTTCCAAAAACAGAAGCCTGTCTCTGAAAAGGAGTCCCTTGGTTTCTTTCTCTTCCTCCCGTCTCTCCCTTTCCTTCCTGGTTGAAGTAGTTTAGCTTTTCTCCTTTCTATTGCTGAGACCCAGGCCTGCTCAAGGTTTGGTTCCACTCCATTCTGAGGCAGAACAGAACTCCTTCTTCCCATGGGACAAGGATTCTGGGCCCAGCCCCTTTGGTTAATTCAGGATCCTTTGAGCCCCCAAACAATTCAAATCCCATCAGGCTAGTGTTGAGCCATTCCCCCAACCAAAAAAAAAAAATTTTCACTTAAAGCCAAATTAAAACCAAACAAAAGGAGGATTTTTAATCAGAAAAAGAATCTTTTTAATTTGTATAATTTATTAGAAGCTTCTTAGGAACTATATTTAAGCCATATATCTACATAAGTTACAACAGAAAAAGACTGACGCTGCAAATACCAAACTGCCAAATAATATACACAGATTTATCAATGCCCATAAAAAATACCATGGGCTGGGGATGGGGACTGGGTTTTTGTGGTTTTTTTTTTTTTTTACAACAAATGTACAGATTACTAAAAACTAGGCGTTTAGTCCAACTTTTGACAGTGTTTTACAGCTACAAGTTCACATCAAACGTAAAACAACTTTAGCCAGGGCGGGTCCCCACTGAGCCCGGGCTGCCAGAGGGCACGGGGAGGGGGCATTTCCTTTGTGTCAGTGACAAAGAGTCTTTCCTCTCCCCAGCCCGGGACTCCCTTTCGAAAGAAATCCTGGTATTTACAAGCGAGTCCACCTTGCTGGCACGGCGTCCCCAGAATGAAGTTTTCGATCTTTAGAGTCCAAAGCCGATCTCTAGAGTCCAGAGCCTTGTCAGCGCAGAACCCTCTTCAAACTGTGCCCCGCCCCAGCGTGTGAAACCCATTTGAATCACCTAAAAGACACCCCCAAAGCAATGCTTGTTATGTCCTTCTCTATTTAAAGACTCCTTAAGGAATTGGTTGTTTTTATTTTCTCTTTTAAAAAATAAATCCCACAAATTTTAAAAAAGAAAAAAAGACGTCCAGCAGTTTGGCCTTTGTATTTTATCCCTTGGTCTAAACGGGGACAGGTTCTTAAGAAAAGTCGAAGCGCGTTGGAGCGGCGGGTGGTTGGTGGTGTGTGGTGGGCAGAAGGGGAGGCTGTGAGGCAGCGCGCTGGGCTAGGCCCGGCTCCGCGTCCTTTCACCAGGTCCGACCGTATAGCAAGGTGGAGCAGGACATGGTGCCATAGTCCGAGCCCGAGGAGTTCAGGTGGGACAGGCTGGAGACCTGGCCCTGCAGCGCCGCGGGGCTGGCGGCGTGGTGCGCCAGGTCCGGAGACTGGCCCGCGCTGCCCGGCTGGTGGCCCGGGTGTGCCCCCAGGCCAGGGCCTCCGCTACCCACAGAGATGGCGGCCGCGGCCGCCTGCGCGGCTTGCGCCTGCTGCTGCGCCTGCTGTTGCGCGTGGCCTTGGAGGCTGGCGGCGCCCGGCGCCTGAGCGCCCGCCTGGCAGGGTTTGCCGTCTTTCACCAGGACCGGCACCGCCACGCGGCGCGGCGACTGCTGCTGCGCCTGCTGCTGTTGCGGGCACCCCGCGCCCCCGCCGGCACCACCGCCGCCGCTGTCCTGCTGCAGTTGCTGCTGCGCCGCCTTGTCCTTGGCTTGACGCTTCATCTTGTAGCGGTGGTTCTGGAACCAGATCTTGACCTGCGTGGGCGTCAGGTGGATCATGCTGGCCAGGTGCTCGCGCTCAGGCGCCGACAGGTACTTCTGTTGCTTGAAGCGTCGCTCCAATTCGTACACCTGCGCCTGGGAGAAGAGCACCCGGCGCTTCCGGCGCGGCGCGCTCGGCAGCGGGGCCATGTTCTTGCTCACGTCCCCCAGCGAGCCCAGGCCGCCCATGCCGGTCATGTTCATGCCGCTCGCCGGGCCCATGAAGCGGGAGACTGTAAGCGACAAACCACAGCGTCGGCCGGGGCGGGCCGGGCCAGGCCACCGTTGCCTTCCTAGCCCTGGTCCGGCCCGGCCCGGCCCGCCCCGACGGCGCCCTCCTCACCTAGGCCACCTGCGCCCAGATAGGCCCGGTCGCGGGGCATCGCCAGCGCTTGTCCCGGGCCACGCCGTCGAGGACGTTACTGGAGAGTTCCCCGCCTCAACCCCGGCTACCTCCCAAAAAGCACAGTGAAGAAAGGCAGCTCCTGTTCTTTCGCGCCCAACCCGGGCCGGAGTCGCGGGGTTAGCTGGCGACACACAGGCGGCGAACTGGGCCCAGGCCAGGAGTTGGGGTCCGACGGTAGACCCCAATTTGGGGAGCTTAAGAGAGGGAGGTGTTCTCTTCCGAAAGCTAGCGCCTTCAGGCACGCTTGCTCGTGGCCCCTCTCTCCTGTCCGCCCCAGTGAAGGTACTTGCTCGGCCCATATGGAGCCCCCTCTGGAGTCGCGCGTCCCCCCACTTTCCTAGACTCGGCTGGAGAGCGGGACCGGCCCGGCGCCCGAGCGCGTCCCCGCAGGGCAGCCTCCCACCCGGCCAGGCCGCACCTCTCCGCGCCCTGCTGGCCCGGGCTCCCTCAGCTGTGGGGGACACCTCCCTCGGCGCTCCGAGGTCACCCGTGCGGAGCTGAGCTGCCAGACGGCGGCATCCGGGAGATGCCGAATGCCAGCACCTGCCCGCAGGAGCCCCGCGCTACCAAGTGCCTCTGGCTGGACCCCTCAGCCTGGCAGAGAGAAAAACCGCCAGCTCCCGCGCCGGACTCCCCGGAGCCTCTACCCAGTCGCCCACCCCGGTGCCCAGCGCGCAGCCGGCAGACGCCGCGCCTCCCGGGCGGCTCGCCCCGCGCCTCGCGCGCTCAGCCCGCGGCCCTGCGGTGGGGCGGCCTCACTTACTGGCGGGGAAGCGCGGGTCTGGGTTGGCGCCGTACCATCCCGGGCCGGAGGCGCTGTTCCGCATGGTGTCCTGGTACGGCGGCAGCTCGCTCATGTTGCCCAGGTTGCCGTTGCAGTAGCCCCCCACGGCGGAGTGCGAGAGCTGGGGCACCCCCGCCGCCGTCATGTGGTAGGCGGCGGTGACTGCGCCGTGGTGCCCCACGGCGTGCTGCTGCATGGCCGCGGCCGGCGCCGCCGCCTGGCCCTGCCTGTAAGCCGCCAGCGGAGCCCCGAGGCCGCCGCCCTCCATGCCCACTTTCTTGTAGCTTTCCTCCAGGGGACTCAAGATGTCAGACACTGAGAACGGAGTCGTGTGCTTTGGACTCATCGACATGATTCGGCGGCGGCTGGAGGAGGAAGGAAGAGGAGGAAAAAAAAGGGAGAGGGGGAAGGCGAAGCCTCGCTGCTTTTTTTTTCTCCCTTTGCCAAATATTCTGGTGTTACCTTAACGCCGATCTTGTTGGATGTACACGTAACCGAGTGGACCGAGTCCGCCTTAATTGGCTTGAGTGGAGGCTCGGGGGCTGCCTCGCGTTTGTTTTAGCCCGGCGCCAGGTTTTAGGCAGCCACCAGAGGCGGGGCGTAAGCGCTAAAGCAACAAGACAATAGAAGCCTACATCTTGCCCGAGATAATTAGCTTACATGCTGATGACAAGGTAAACACCTTTAAGTTTCACTTGTCAGGATTTTTAGGTCTCAAAGAGGGAGAGGAGAGAGAGAGGCAGAGAAGCGACCCGCAGCCTTGCTTTCCCCCCTCCCCCGGACACCCCCACCCCCCATATTTTGTGGGGTGCGGGCGGCGCGCGGGGGGAGGCGGTGGGGGGGAGGGAAAGGAGGAGGGAACCGACAGAAGGGAGGGCAAGAGGTGGGGTGGGGAGTAGCAGAGGCGGAGGGACGCCGGGGAGGAAGGAAGGTGAATGCTGCTTTGCCACCAACTTGCGGAGTTACAAAGTGGAAACCACTTTCCAGTTCAGTCGGGGTGACCCGGGCGGGGACCGGTCTTTGGAGGGGGGGGGCCGAGGGACGGGGTAGGGGTTCACCTGAGCCTGCCGGGGCTGCTTCTCCCTCCCGCCGCGGCCTCCCAGCCCCGCGCCTTCCCACCGCCTCCGGACCACATCGGGCTTCGCGGCGCCGAGCCCCAGTCGCCACCAAATGAGCGCGCGAGTCTGGGGACGAGCCCTGGGGCCGCGCCGTTGGTCTGCGTGTCTGTCAGTCTGTCTGCCGCTTCTGCCGCCGTCAGAGGGACACCTCTGCTCCCCGCCCCCTTTTCCCCTACCCGGGAGTGAATCCCGGCGGGCGGAGGGGGCGCTGAGCAGGGGGACGGCGGCCTCGGAGAGGCTGTCCCAGATCCCCGCGTTTCCTCCCCCAACTTAGGGTCTCTTCCTCCGCCGGCTACGGCCCCCCCTGCATCACGCCCCCAGCCCACCCCCAACCCCCACAACCGTCTCCCTTTCCCCACCCCCACCTCTGGCAGAGGTTAGGGCTCCACTGGCCGCTGGAGCAGGGAGGCTGGGGGTGGAGGGGCCGGACAGGAGGGGGCATCACTGAAGTTGCCCCACCTGGAACAAACCTGGTGTCCCCGACCCTCTCCCATCGCCCGGACGCGCGGGATTCCGGGCCTGGAGCTGACTTTCCGAGGACATCACAGCCCCAACACCCAAGCCCAAGGCCGCGCCGTTTTCCCCCTTGAGGCTTCAGGGAGGGAGCGAGTAGGGAGCGTCGTGAGCGCCCGCCCGCCTGTTGCCGACAGAACAGAGCCTGAACCCCGGTGGGACTAGCTGGCTGGGAGGGGGCGAGTCCCGACGCGCGCACAGCCCAGCGGGCGGGAGGCCGGGCTGAGGTCCGCCTCCGCCCGGAGCTCAGCCATGCAAAAGTGCACTTGCTTCCCCGGGAATAACCAAATATCTTTGTTTAAAGTGGCGGCGTAAATGGCCAGTCGCTTTGTGGCCACGCTGGATATTAGTAGATGAGGATCATTCTGCTTCAATTGGGCGCCTCTCATCCGGCGAGCAAGAAACTGCTTAGGAGGAAGTGAGTTTCCTGTCTGCGCGTTCCCAGGCTTCAAGTGTGAGCCCCGCGCCTTGAGGGTCCTTGGGCGCTTGGAGAGGGGAAGCTGTGGACGAGCTTCCCAGCGGGGCCGGAGGCGTCCCCCGCCGCGGCTGCGGCCAGGCCGGGGCTCCGGGCGGGTGGACGAAAAGAGCCGAGCTCTGCGCCGCGCACGTCCTCACACTCCCTCCGACTTTTCTCCTTGGATTTTTAAATGTTTTGGTTTTGTTTTTGGCTGTTGTTTTAATTGTGTTTTCTTTTTGATTCTTTTTCGTCTCCTCTGCGCACGGGCGACTGGGAGCGCAGAGTGCTCGGTGGCCTGGCAGGGGCCGCCAGAACGCCGTAGGGGGCGGTCGAGGAGGCTTCCCGAATTTGGATTTTGTTTTCACATTTCCTTTCCCCTCCTTGTAGAGAAGAGGCTCCCGGTAATGAGCAGGCACTTTTGAACTATTTGATTCTGCAGGATAGGCACCTTTTCATTAATGACAGGTGTAGTGCCGAAAGATGTTTTGTTTATCGACTTTTTATTTGAAAATCTCAGTCCTCTCCCTGAGGACTACTCTGCACTCCGTCATACACGTCAACTTCTATGACAGCACTAACTTCTCTCACCACCCTCCTTCCTAACCAGGGGAAGAGAAAACTCGGAGGAAACCCACCCCACCCCCCATCAAGGGCCCACATTTCTGCGCAACCCCTGGGCAGGCTCGGGGCAGCAACACTGCATTTGGCGCCGAGACGCGCTTGCGGGTTGTGCAGCGAAAGACCGGTGGGAAACCGGATTCCTTGTCCTTCCTTCCAGGTGACTTCTCTGGGGGGCGCTCACAGGAAGGATTCAGACCCCATCAGCTCCTGTTTGGTCAATGTAATGTCGAAGTCCTGAGAACGAGGAGGGGAGACGACGCTGGAGTCAAGCAATGGTCCCGGGCAGCGACAGCGGGCTAAAATGAATACAGATTTTGCCACAGGCATCATTCCGGCGGGCTGGGCCTGCGGCTGCCTTGGGGTCTTCGTGCCAAGGCGGGTTGGGCTTCCCAAACACCCGGCTCTCTTTTTTTTTTTTTCTGCCCTCCATTATTCCGTATTATTGGAAAGTGTAAGAAGTACCAGGTCTAAAACGTTGTAAGTCTCTCTCAGTCTCAATGCCATTTAGAAATGGTGGCAATTCTTCACGCGGTTTTTGTGGATTCAAGTAAGATCGCGCACATAAAAGAGCTTTGAAAGCTGAAATGTTTAAGTTCAGTGCCTCACTCAGGATTTCTGTAGTTATTGTTATCGCTAGTACCCTCCACCCCTCCTCCCCCTCACCTCCTAAAGGGAAGAGTTGAGCGAGTCTTGCAAGTTCCTGGGTGGTGCAGCCTTAGCCTTCGACCCTCAGCTGCTTTCCAGTCAAGCAGCCGGCCAGGGCGCACGTGGCTGGCTGCTCCCCGCCCTCCAAAAGGCTCGCCTGGGGATGAGTTCCCTCACCGCACCCACCAAGCAGGCACAGAATTACAGTATTGGGTTGGCGCTGGAAGCCAGGGGGCTTGGGGGTCAGGGAAACAGCTCCCGCTCCACCCTGTCAGGGCAATCCAGAGAGTACTGCACACCCACTGGCTCTCCTCCAGACCTTGCCTGGGCCTTTGCAGCTCCTTTGGGCATCAGCCCCATCTCTCTCTGTCTCTGTCTCTGTCTCTGTCTCTGTCTCTCTCTCTCTCTCTCTCTCTCACACACACACACACACACACACACACACACACACACACACACACACACACACACACACACGCTGCTCCACATTCTTTCCCAGATGCACTGCACTGTGGAGAATAAGTCCCCAGACTAAGGCGCCTTGTGGGGAAAATGCAGATATGGTTATCTCCCAGCTTGTCTAACCAAGGACCTTGAGAGGCAAGGGCCCGGGAGTCCCTCCCCTGGCCAGAACACCTCTTCCAGATCAGAGAAAGTTCTTTCTTTTAGGGCCTCCCAGACTCATCTCAATAGGGTGATTCCCTAGTTAAACCAGTACTTTCTCCGTGCCTGTAGGGGACTTTTGGGTCCACCCGGTAGGACCCTTGCCTCCTCCTCTATTCTGCAAGTAACTCACTACCCGGTGAGGCAGGAGCAGGGTGGGACAGTGGCTAGACAGGGTCCAGCTCTGACCTCTCCAGGAGCGACCCCACACGTCCCCCTCCATGCCGGTCACACTCTGCTTTGCTGGCTGCCTCTTGGCCTGGAATCCATGAGCCGGGGACACACAAGTCCAGGCCCGGTGACCAACGTGCAGAATTGCCAGCAGTCTTTGCACCTCACGCGCAAGGCTGATGGGAAACGCCCATCTCCTCTCCTGGGTTCCTTCTTTCATAACTTAGAACTGTGAGTTCAAACAGAAGATAATGCCGCATCTGTATCTCTGGCCACGCGGGAATGGAAGGGACATGTGTTTTTCACTCTCCTCCTACCCCCCCCCCAACTTTTTTCTAATTCCTTTCATGGTGCTTCACACTTTTTCTAGGGTGGTGAGCACAGGACAGATTTCCTTGTAGTGTTATTTGCCTTAGAGTTTTCTCGTAATTCATGAGTCAGTTCATAACAATTTACTGAGCACAAGTTCAATGTCAGGCTCTGCGCTAGGCCTGAAAATTCTGTCTTATATACAAACTGGATATAGCTCCTCACTCAGAGAGCTTACAAATGAACACTCGATCACCCAAACATTATGTAGTTACTTTATGACAAATATTACTCCAGGATACAACCCACATAGAGTCTGTGCTCATTAAGTCTCGGCTCATTTCCCGATCTTCAAGTTCTCCGAAAAAACGGGAAGAGCACTTCAGTAGAATGCACAAGTCCTGGGGTTGGAGCCTGGGCTTTGCAGACTTTGTGGTATGGCTCTTGTGGATTCTCACCACACCCTGGGCCCTCTACCGTTACAGCGGGCATAGTTTCCTGACCCTCCTCCAGAGCAAGACCCCATTTTATTTGTCCTGTACAGGCTCGAAAAAGTGTTGAATTAAGGACAAAGTACTGTTTCTCGAGAGACAACGATGAGAACTTGCCCTAGGTGCCTCCCATATTCTGCTGAGGACTGAAATATTTAAAGATGGGACGATGTGCACAAGTTTGTAAGTCATAACATTCGCTAGCAAACGGAAGGAATCCAAGTCTCCAGGCCTGAGTAAGGAGCGCATAGGCTTCTCCGCCGCTCCCGCAGCCAGGTGCAGGCTCCTGGGCCAGGCTGAGCTGGACTCCCAGGTGCCATGCAGGCCACCCGCCCAGAGAGCCGGGGGCAGGAGCACAGCTGGGCTCTGGGGGTCGTTGCTCTCCAACCCGGAGACACAAGGAACCGAGAAAGGATCTGGAGCCCCCTCTGGAGGGCGTCTTCCCTCTGCGCCCCTTTCCTGGGCACCGCAATTGAGAACCTGGAGAGCATTAGCGCAAAGCTAGGGCTGGGGCTAGGGCGTAGAGGGATGATTTCCCCAAGACGCTCTCGCAGACACAGTTCGAGGCAGAGATTCGGGGATCCGCGCTGAGGAGGACCACCTCTGCTGCTGTCTCTCCCGGCCTGACTGTTTAGGGCCTTCGAGGGCTTCTTTCCTTTGGGGGACGCGTTCTATTCGCCGTGGCCTCTGGGCAGGTCGTCGTGGGGAGTGGGGCTAGGCCAGCACGTCCGAGAGCGACTCCTGCGCCACCCTCTCCCTGCACTGGCGCTCTGGGGTTGGAGTTCCAGGCGAGGTTGTGTACGAGAGGCCCGTGCACGCGGAGCGCCCCGGGAGAAGAGGGGAGTGCCCTCCGCAGAGGAGAGGCCAACACTCTCCTCGGTCTGGTCAAGTCCTTGGAGAGATTAACATTTGCATCTCAAAACTCGCCTATTTTCGTGGCATACAGTTCAAGCCCAGAGTCAACTTGCCCCCAGTTGTATCCAGGTTCCCTAACTTCTCTACTAACTACCGAGGGTATCCCCTTCGGAAAGGGTTGTAGAATAGGAGCAAATTTGGGGACTGACTTACAAAGGCAGAGATAGCGGGGAGTCAGCCATAGCGACACCCTTTGAAAGCCCCAGACAAGTGTAGAAGTGGGGTACTCGGC